CATTTGGACACTTGGGGGAGTTGATTCACTTTTCATTAGAAAATTCACCCTTGAAGCGACTATGATCATTCACATCCTCAAGTGTCAAATGGAGTTTGACTCACAACTGCACTGTTCACGTCCTTTGCTGTCTAATATATAACACAGCCAATGAACTAAAGAGAGAGTCTACATCCATAAATAGTAGGTTGCCGTTGGCTTTGAAAGCGCATCCTATGTCATGGGACAAGAGTAATGCCCATGCTTGTCAGGGGGCCGTCTGCAGAGTCTCTACTGGGAGAAAAGAAAAGGCACTTTTCCATTGGGCTTTACGGCAGTACATACTTTTTGGTTTTTATATGCATTGTCCCATGTCAAGGAGACAAGCTGTGACATCAGTCACAGGATGATGGCAAAAAAGAAAATACAGAATACTAAAAATAGTGTGGCTTTTAAAGGTTGTTGTCTGCATCACTTCTTTCAAGACCCACGAGAAGATTCATCATGGAAAGGCTGAAAGGGCTTCCTCTCTGTTACCGGGAGCAAAGATCAGAGGACTGTGATTTACAGCTCTGGAACCTAACTCTAAGGAGGCAGTGGGGTTTCCACATGACTTTGAAGCCAGCCTGGGGTGTGGATCAATCAGGCCTGGCCTGTGTGGGAGTGAATAAAGACGCAGGGCCTGGTGAGAGGGGAACCAGAGGGTCACCGGTCAAGGAAACGACCCTCCTTCATCCCTCCTCCACTTCCCCTGGGCTGACCTCATTTTCCCCCCTACTTTATTATTTTTTTCCAGTGTGAACTGGATTTCATCTATCTCGTTCAGTAATCTCTTTTATAGATGGGTAGAGTGAGTGCTCAAGAGAGGAAATCATTTATGTAAGCGGGAGACAGAGTGGGCCGGGTGGTCCTCCCACTCCCTGCTCCCTTGCTGAGTCATGGTTTCTCTTGATGTTTACAAAGAGCCCTGGGGGGTAAGGGCAGGACTGCTTGCTGCAAGGTCGGTGTTTCAAAACCACCAACTGCGGTGCAGGAGAAAGATGAGGCTATCTGCTCCGGTGAAGATCTGCAGCCTCAGAAACTCAATACAGGATCACTAAGGAGCCCTGGTGGTGTGCTAGATGATGGACTGGGCTGTGTTATCCTTGTGGTTAGCAGTTTGAAACCACCAGCTGCTCCTTAGGAGAAAGGCAAGCCTTTCGGCTTCCACCAAGTGACAGTCTCTGAAACCCACAGGGGCAGTTCAACTCTGTCCTGTAGGGTGGCTCTGAGTCGGCGTAGACTCAATGGCACTGAGGTGAGTCAGAAAGTGCCAGTATCCCAAAGTATGCTGAACAGAGCCCCAAATGTGGCTTTCACCTTATAGAGATGTTCAGGAAATTCTTGGATTGCTAATATCTGTGGAAAAAGAGCTGCGATTACATACACATGCCACTGAAAAAGGAAAAGTGGCCCAGGAGATGCCTTCTGATTTCATCACTGGGGAGGCAGAAACCACCTCCAAAAGCAGCTGCTAAGTGGCAAGCACTTAGACTGAGCGTGCTCACCAGAAAGTTTCCGTACATGGAGACAGTAGGAGACATGCTGATCGCAGCTGCCCAGTTCAGTCACGAAGTTGGGCTCTATCCTGGCCGGCCAGCACGTAGGGCAGAGGAGGTTGGGCATTGGGAGCAGAGAATCTGGGTTTCGATTCTAGATCCATCAACTAGCTGTGCAATTGTGGGCTTGATTTCTCTAAGGCCCATAAGATTGTTCTGAGAATTAACTCACAACGTTGGTGCCAAGCTCATCGAAAACCAAGCTCAGAATTCATGGCCATCAAT